TAAAGGCGGCGCCCTGAGGCGGATTGTGTAGTGAGCGGTGGAGGGGTCCTTTCCTGACCAGCAGGCCGACCGGGACGTATAGCTGGGTGGGCCTAACCGCCACGTCGCACGTTTTTGAGTGTGTGGCAGTGCTGGTGTGGGACTGGGGACAGAGGGTTGCTTTCCACCGGGACAAAGCTCACCACAGAGGTGGGAGGAGGAGCGCTTGGGGGCAAGCACCAAGCAGTGGGGAGGGTGCGGGATCTTTGCTGTCCAGAGTCAAATTGGTGTAAACTTGAGGGTCCGGTTTCATAGCACGGTCCATCTGCAGACTGTTGCTGAATGAAGCTATCCCTCCTCTCTCACCCTCTCTGTCTTCTGCCGCTTTCATTGGTTTGGTGGGTAAGTTAATCTTTCAGATCAACTCTGATTAAGTGGGAAACAAATAACTTTTTTTGTGGGTAGGCTATTCTGTCAGACAGAACTGCTGATCCAATTGATTTTTCCAATATATGATCCATGGATGTGAGAATGTATGGTGGTGTAGAAGGAAGGAAAATAGGATTGCCCTTTCAACAGCAACCTGCTCTTAGATTATGGTAGTGTTAATGCTGTACTTTGCCATAAATTTCAGAAGCATGAACCCAGTTAGCAGAAGTAACTTGGCTAATGAATGGGCTGGCAGCAGAATCTCCTGGACCCTTTTCCACAGGAGGGTGACCCATGGGGAAGCTGCGTGTTAGTAACATACTGTCTGCTTTGCTCTATAGCACAGTGATGCGCGTGTGCTGGCTTGTGGGGAAAGAGAAATGCAGTCAGCGAATGAAACTTCCACACTTGGAAGCAGTGGTAATTGGACGTGGCCCAGAGACTGGGATAACGGATAAGAAGTGTTCACGGCAGCAAGGTATGGTTTAGCTCAAATCCTGCTTTCTACATGCAGCAGCAACCAAACATGTGAAGAGTATGAGATACAAGTACAGCACTCATGTTTATCAATAAACACCATTCTTCTGTTTGGCTAAATTACAGTGAAGCTAATGGACAGGTGTTTTGGCCTGATTTGTAAGCCTGCTTTGAGCAGGGTCAAAATGGGAAATCACAGTTTTTCCTTGAAATCTAAGCAGGCTTTCCTTAGGCTGGCTTCTGGTCTCCTTCCTCTGCGTGGCACATAGTGTTGCCTGATTCTTGAAGTCAACAAGGTTTTTTTTATAAGCACTTACGGAGATCTCTGGGTCATAAAAAAATCAGAGGAGACATCTAATAACAGGAAGTTCACCTTCCTAAACTAAGGCATTGAAGCTTAACATGAGTCCCCAGGCCTGCAGTCCTGTTCCACTGACTGCAGTCTTGCTTTGTGGGTGGCACTTCATCTCCCTAGTCTTCCACTAACTGGTTGTTTTATAGATGCGCTGGGAGAATATATAAAAATATCTGTTATCTACAAAACACTCCCCTCCACATCTTCCCTGCCTGTCTTCTCTTTGGACACAGTCCTGCTGCATGCCATGTTGTCACAGAGGGCTGGTGAGAATAGCAAGAATGTGTAGAAGACTTCCTTAGATTTCACCTTTATTCTGAAGTAATTTTGCTGATCCGTATGTGAAATACGCAGGGGTAACCCAGTTGTATGGGTTGGTTCTGTTTTACCTGTGGTCCTGGAAACAGAGAATGAGGCAGAAGTATTCTTTGTGCACATTCACAGAGATCAGCTTCAGAAGGCAGCAGATCTGAAAGTAGTGGAGT